AAATAATATATAAGTATATGCTAGCCATCTAGTACATATGTGACCATCAAGTCTCAGATTTATTCTCCCCATAGAAATACAAATTGAACAACCATACGTGGACCATAATACCTCTGTGAGAAATCTAGAATTGGGCAAAGAAATTAGAACACCATAAGTATCATGACACTCATAACAACTACATGGAAACAACTACAAACAGCAATCTTATTTTTCCCAGGTCTCTGCCTTCTATAAATCAACGTACTTCAGTGCTAAGAGAGATATTCCTGGCCATGGGGAAGTGTATTAGTCAGCTTCCTCAGGGATAAGTCAAAATACTGGACTCTAGCATCTTAACAGAGAAGAGATTTATTTTGGCTCAAGGTTTCAGTGGGTTCAGACCATGGTAGGATGGCTCCTCCACAGAAACAGCATGGTAGAAGGGCCTGATGCAAAGCTGCTCACATGAGCAGAGAGAGAAGGGAGGAGCTGGGGATGAGAATATACCCTTTGCTTCCCACCTGCCGTGAAGTAAAGAGCTTTTTTCTGGCCATGATGTACTGAACCATCAGCCAGTTTTAAATATCTTTTTCTTTAAAAAAAAAAAAAAAAGGTGTAAATTAAGGGAATCAAAGAACAAAAGACAAGGACAGTAAAGGGAAGGGAAGGAAAAATGGACAAGGACATTCCCCCGCCCTACTCTAATAGAAACATTTTCAAACTATAGTTTCATAATTGGGCAATCAGACTCAGCTGGCCTTGACAAAACTACCCAGCTACACACACACACACACAATATTTTTCTGACTCTGTAGCAGGCTTTACTCTGAGCACCATAAAATAGACCATAAAGAGGTGGGGACCAGTGGCCCAGTGAAGCACATGGTGGCAGGCAGGGACCAGCGGCATGGAAAGGTCCAAAGTAGCTGTGAGAATACGAGCCAGTGGTAAGGTGAACAGGCACTGCTCCCGCACACAGACACAAGCAACAGAAGCAGGTGGGCAGGGCTGCCATTTTATTTCAAGGGGCTCAGGGCAAATTCTGCCAACAGAATGGTCCTGGGTTGCTTCACTGCCAACATCTCAGAGTGGAATGAGGGAAGAACCCTCCAGTCACAGTGGACTGCCTGCAGGTGGAAAGCAGACAAGGGGAAACTGTGCCAAGAGGTAGGAGCTGGGAGCACCTAGACTCTGCTCTGGTGGCCACAAGAAGCCAGTCTTAGCCCTAAATACAAAGAACTGGAAGCATCCCCCTGGCCTGAAACCAGCAAAGCAGCTTTGGCCCCACAGCATACACAGGCAAGCAGCCTTGGTCTGCAGTGGGACAAGGACATTCCCCCGCCCTACTCTAATAGAAACATTTTCAAACTATAGTTTCATAATTGGGCAATCAGACTCAGCTGGCCTTGACTAAACTACCCAGCTGCAACTCAGAGGTAATTTGACTCAGCTCTGTCTGACCATTTGCACAATGGCCCACACACATATCCTGTTTTGCTAGTCTGTTCAAGGACTATCTACCTGAGACACGTTAACCCTGTCAAGAACACACTAAATCTGACCTGCTTGCTGGACCCTGACTTCCCCCAGACCTTCCTGCCTCAGGATGAATGGCCCCCTCTTACTAAACCTGCCCCAGACACATCTTCCTAACAACGTGACCAAACGTATGTGACCAATTGTAGACTAACCCGTTATCAACTCTGTATCTTCTGCTTACAAAATGTATATAAGTTGTTATTTCACTCTGAGCTAGTGCTGGTGGTTTGGACCTAGTTCCCACCAGTCCACCAGCATACACAAAAGTTGCCTTCTAACTCCTTGGTGCAAAGTGTTTTCCATCTGGTTTGCTACAGATTTTGCAACACTACAACCAGCACGTAAGAGGAATCAGTGGTATGCAACAGAAGAAGCTGTGCAAGGTCCAGAGGGGCCGACTGGACACAGGTCTGGGAGCAGCTCTGGGTTTTCTTTATGGGAAGGCACCACAGCAACTGGGAGAGTGCAGTAGAGACAATGATGGTAAGTAGAAGAGGACATGTAGAACACTGTCAGTTTCAGATCAGTTCCAGCCCCAACATCAAGAGGTCAAGGTCAGCCCCTCACCCAGCACTAATCCTACTGCAAGCTTGGCAGAGTTCCACGCACATTTCTGGGATCTGACCTGGATACTACCACAGAACTGTGGACACCTGAGGAATTCTATTATTTTTCTTTTTCTTTGTCTGATTGATTTTTCTTTTTCTTTCTGGTTGAGTTTTTTTCTTTTCTTTTTCTTTTTTTTGCTATTTAGGTTTCTCATCTTTCTTTTTGTTTTTCTTCTATTCATCTTCTTTCTCTTTCCTCAAGTATTTATCCGGATTTTATATTTTCATGTGAGTGAATGTCATCTCTTCTCTTTCTAGTTCAATATTCTTTTGTTTTCTCTGGCATTCTTTCTCTCCTGGGTTCTCCAGCTTTATGCCACCTCAAAAGTTACAGTTTGTCATAGCTAAATCTTGGAAACAACCCAAATACCCATCAGTTAATGAATGGATACAGAGATGTGGTTTTTTTTTTTTTAATACAATGGAGTACTACTCAGCCATAAGGGATAAACTTGAGACATTTATGGATAAATGGATGGACCTTGAGACCATACTCTTAAGGGAAATAAATCAGACACACATGTATAAATATCACATTGTCTCACTGGTGTGAGAAACTGAAAGTGTAAATAAGAACTAAAATGTATAATAGATATTGTGAAATAAGAAGAAATTGTTCAAAAGGAAAAGGGAACTGGGGAGGGGGAGGGAGAGAGAAAAGGGAAGAGGAAGGAAGAAAGAGAAAAGAAAAAATGAGAAAAGAAAGATAAAATGGAAACAGAGCTCTATAAATAAGGAGGGGAAGAGGGATCAAAGGGAGGGGAGGGGGTGTGGGAAAAAAAAGGAATCCAGATATATTGCATACAGGTACAAATTCCCAATGATGACTGTGATCATTATGTATATCTAAATTGTACCAATAAACTTAATTTTAAAAGTTATATAAGAATAAAATTTCATGATCCATAAAATATTATATTGAAACACAGCCACGTACACGTGTTTGTGCGTGGTAGCTCCTTCTGTGCTGCAAGGCCAGAGCTGAAGGTGACATTTGTGAAGGGACATTATGACTTGCTCGCCAGAGATATGTAAGATATGTCCTTCACAGGAAATGCTTGCTGACAATTGATCTGAGTCATTGCCACACAACTAGGCCTCAAGCTCCCTCCAGCACCATTTCCCAGTGTTCCTATCCTTGTCAGTTACAATACAGCCTTGTTCCACCTTCCCCAATCCTCTTACTTGAGAGGAGAACACTGCTTCCATTTTTTATCTTTTCCATAATCGCTCGTCAATGAACACCAACTGCGATTCAAAACATAGCCTTTCTTGGTGCAGCTGTGAAACTGTTGTCCTCTGAAGTAGAATGGAAAGGTACACCTCGGAGGGTCTGCAGAGAAAGGGTGAGTGGACGGAGAACCATAAATATAATCAGATTCATCACTATTGAACTTATTGCATATCATGAGTTTTCAACTGAATATTTTTAAAAACTATAAAAATTATGTAGAAAAGTCAGGGTATGCACTTAGGACTTTCTGAGACCAAGATTCATACAGCCACAAGCTATCACCTTCCTCTGAGGTTCTGGGCATCTAAACTATCCCATAGTAACACACTCACCACTCGCAGTGCAATATCTCCATCTGCCTTGGAAGTTACTGTCGAAAGAACACCAGGCAAAGTCACTGTGAATGGAGATGCAGTTGTAGTAGAGGCCATCCTGATAGGTAAATGGAAAGACGCAGGATCGCGTAGTAATAGCTAGAAAAGAAGGGACGTGCAGAATGCACAGCAGCTCACGAGGAGAACTGAAATTCAAATGCACACCTCAGTGATCCAGAGAGACTGCTTTCCCATCACCTCACAGCCACCTGCAGCTGGCCTTACTAAACTACCTTTCCGGTGTGTGGCAGGAAGTATAAGCAAATACCTTATATTCACTTATTTCAACTCAGAGCTGGCTGCAGGCTGGAGTCACTAACTTCCTTTCCGGTGTGTGGCAGGAAGTATAAGCAAATACCTTATATTCACTTATTTCAACTCAGAGCTGGCTGCAGGCTGGAGTCACTAACTTCCTTCTGATACAGGTCTTCTATCACCAATAGACCCAACTGACTTCTCTAAGCCATAACTCTGGAGTCCATCGTATTGTCTCTTGTACCCATGACTGCTTGAAAAATGAATCTCTTACCCTGCAAAAATTAGCTCCTAAGTGTCTCCCCAAGCTGTACTTCCCTCCACATGCTTTGCAACCGTCTAACATTTTGCCCCACCTTGACTATAACGATGATTTATCTCTGCATGTTCCCACCCCCGTTTCTTCATGCAACAAGAATGCTCATTCTTAAACACTAACCTACATCTGCAGCTAACCTACTCAGTACCCCATCATTTATAGGATAACAAATAGCACTGCAATAGCTTACTTTCCTTACCACAAAAACAAATTGAGAAAAGAAATACAAAGAGGTGAAATATTTCAATCACTTTGATTTAATTACTCAATCATATCAACAAATATCAGAACATCACATCCTTTTGGACACATAGCTTAGCTTTACGTTTTGGTTACTATTTTGTTGAAATAAGTGTTATGTTAAGCTTGGACTCCCCCCATGTTTTAATTAAAGAGAAATGAAGTTAAAAGCATACTTTTAAGGCAGAGTCTTTATTTTGGTGAAAGAATTTTGGAATGATCTTTACTTCACGGTAAGCATAGCCAGGCACCTGAGGAGTGTGGATGGTGGCCACTGAATGTGGGTAACAAGGCAGGATCCGTGTGAATTCCTTGCTTCCCAGTTAGCTGATGTAAGTCCACTTGCTAGGGATTCAGACCGTGTTTGAATAATCTTTTCTTTAAGAAAATTTGCATTTATCCCTTCCCACAAAAAGTGAATTCTGGGAGTCAAGAGCACAATTGGTTAATTCTAGGTAGAGCACTGGTTCCCATCATTAGCCTCTTGTTACTTTGTGATCCATCTCAGATCTTAATAACAAATGTGTATGAAGATGTTTTTCTCATTGAAATTATATTTGATTAATAAAACAAAGAACACACCCAACTCTTTAGATACACAAAATTCATTTTCCTATTGAAAAAAAAATAACTACAAAGCAAGAGAAGGCACACCCACCCAATTGCTGATGCTAGTTGCCACAGAGAAGAGTATCTTTTCTGGAAGGACAGTAGCGAACCTTGGGTTGCTCTCTCAACTACGCCATCAAATATCTGGTTTGGCTCTCCTGCGACTCAGGAGAGACTTTCAGATCAGCAGAATACACCAGAAAGGGTTAAGCGGCAGAAAAGTGCAAGAAATTTTCAGGAATACAATATTATTTAAAGGGTAGGGGTTATCATTTGAAAGGCTGAAAAATAGAGATGGTCTCCCTACCTGGAACGTGATGATGTAAATGGGCAATCAAGTCTAAAAGAGAAAAAAAGGGAGTAAAATTTAGGCAATCTCCTAAAATACTAAAATCCCAGAATAATGGCTGCTTAAATACACCACAGAGTTCATATAAGCAGTTGTCCTCTTGTTATGGAGTCATTTACAATATCACATTTCAGATGTCCTACAGATACCTCCAGCTGTGGGACTGAATGTCTACCCAGAAAAGCACTTCTATTCACAGATGAGCTCTGACTATTTTGAAGGTCTTTTTTGAGTAAGTTAGAGTAAACCTACTTTATCCAATGGCATCCACCTCCTATGCATTCATTGCAATGCTACAATTCTGTCAACATCAGTAACAGCTAGAAAGATATTCTGCAAAGAATAATGGCATTTATGTGGGATTGGCAGGGTATTGCAACAGGAATACTCTTGCAGTAGTAATGCGTATTTAAAGAAAAATGCATATTTAAAGAAATAATGCATATTTAAAGAAACCAAGACAATCAAAGCTTTTATTGAAAGCCAAAACAAAGAGGAGTACACCTGATATTCTGCAGCAGTGATCCTTGTGACCAAGGAGTGGTGCCAGTCCAAGAATGAACAGATAGTGGCTGGGCAGACATGCTTGGCAACGAGATACAGAAGTGGAGGCTTAGAGGGGGAAAATGCACATCCAAAGTCTTGGAACTACGAGTAGTTCAGATAGTCTCTTGGCTCCAGGACCTAAGTCTCTATCAAAGTCCTGCTTTGAGGGTGCTTCCACCAAGCTGAACCTTTTCCAAGTGCAGCCAGTGAGTGACAGTCACTTTAGACTGAAGCCAAGGGTCCTGATATTTCCTTATGGATACCAGGATGACAGCTGCTATGGATGAGTTTTCTGCTTTCTTACAGAGTGTGTGGTTTCATCAACAAGACACTCTTCTTTATAACCCTCCATCTTTGTTGTCTTTAACTTTAGTGGCTCCTTCTGATTGTATAAGTGAATGAGTAGAGAACTACATTCATTCCCTTTTTTCCAAACATCCCAAAAGGTCTGCAATCTGGATCACATCCACCTCTGTCTGGTTCCTGCGACTGAGCTGCTTGTGACCACAGTGCCCCCAGAAGTGATTATTTGTCATTTCTTCTATTAATAATTTCTAAGAACACCAAATCTTTATAGAATCCCTGACCTCATGATTTACGTGTTTATCACATCATAGTTCTGGCCAAACACGACCGTTTGTATGTCTGATGTTCCTGCCACTCCTTCAACTGACCAAGTAATGGCAAAGATATAGCACTCCTCACACCATTGCTTAAGGGTTCAGTGCCCTGGACGTGTTCTGAGAGATAGAAAAGGAGATGCAACCATTAATATCAAAACTGACCTGGCATTCCCAGGTAGCCATGCTAGTCTGCTAGTGGATATGTATAATCACACAGAGTAACAACCTTGCAGAAGGTTACTCTGAGAGCATACTGCACTGCAATTCAGCAAGAACACTTCAGGGTTTTGTGTAGGCACTGGCAAAAATAAGATCCATCTACAGACCACCCGAGTCTCTTGTCTACAGTTAGTAAAAGATGTTTGCTTCCTAAGGAAGCTTTCTGTCCAACTGTGCCTCCCTCAGGGGTAGGATTTACTGAGAAACCCAGGACCAAAATTGTAATTGGATGCTCTGACAACATCCAATCTTGAGTAAATATTGCTACTTGGAGCTTCCTGAAGCCACCCAAGAACACCCTCTTCCTGAGACTCCAGGTATCTGATGGTGTGTGTTCCTCCAGGCTGTAATGCATGAGAAGCCCAGGACACTCAGATGCTGTGTGTTCCTGCTGGACATGGGCTGCAGAACACTGAGTGTCCTAAGGGTTTGCCGTACCTTTCCTTCACTAATTGTCACAGCAACTACAGGGCCTTAATATTAGTCATTCTGCATTGAATTTATTTGTTTTCTGTGAAGATCATTCAGACAGTTCTAATTTCAGATGAGTTAAAGAGAACACATAAAACACCTCCCAGCCATCCCTATCCATTTACCCTATCACTTGCCCCACTGCTGAAATTTCTATAAAGCCTGCAGAGATAGCTTGTGACTATCCCAGAAAGCAGGGGTTCATAATTTTTTATTTATTTATATTTTAATTCAAAAGATGGCTCAACCCACCTACTGTTTATTTTGGACTTTGCTTCCTTGAAAATAGACCTGGGAGGAGCTTCCAAAACAATACATACCTAGCTCACTCTTGCTTTAGGATCTTTTCCCACATAAGGATGGGAAATCAGGGGCTCACGTGGAACCAAAAGTCACTTGTTCTGTGATTGCTTCCCTACACACACACACACACACACACACACATACAACATGACCACCACCACCAGCAGCAGCAGCAACAGCAGCAACAACAACATGAGGGACAGGGGAGGAGTTGAATCCTGGGCTCTCCGAACCGTGTTTTCACTAACATCTATGCTGTATTTAAAAGGTACTATGAGGGCTGGGGATTTAGCTCAGTGGCAAAAGCGCCTGCCTGGCAAGCGCAAGGTCGTGAGTTCGGTTCCCGGTACCGGAGAAAAACCAAAAAAAAAAATAAAATAAAAAAAAAAAAGGTATTATGAGCAATTAATTTCCTGTTTTTCCCAAGCCATTCCTGTTCTCGATTCTCCCCCTTTATTCCTTCCCCACCTTGCCCCCTCACCTGCGTTGAGTCCACAAATATAGACTGCCAGCGTCACCCAACCCAACAGATGTCTCATCACCTCCAATGGCCTGTAGATGGTGTACATCATAGAAACCTCGCCTCTGACTTTATACTCTCCCTGTCTGCTCCTCCTACTCTGGCTGTTCTCATATACTTACTCTGCAGCATTTGCTTCCTGGCCCTAACTCTGAAAGTCCTTAAAGAAATCAGGGGTATCTATCTTAGAATGTTGTGGTCTAAAAGTGTGATCCTGGACAAGTGTCATCACCCCTATCTTTGTGCTTGTTAGAAATGCCAGCCCTTGGGCTTCACCCTGCACCTGCAGAAACTCCGGCAGTGAGGCAATCACCTGCCTTGTAACGGCCTTTGGGTGAATTCTATATTGGTTACAATTTGAAAATCAGAGTCCCACAGTGTTCCTAATATTTCATATCTGTTTCCTATAATTTGCTCCTTGATTATTATTTTTTATTTTTTTAATTTTAAAGATAACAGAATAAACACACATTAATGAACAAACAGGCATAAACAAAACAACACCAACTTTTTAAATAAGGATACAGTGAGAAAGACGAAGTCAACATGGGCCTTGCGGATAAGACTATCTCAGAGAATCCAGGCATCTGCCTGTGTTCAGCCAGCCAGTTGGAAAGAATAGATCTTAATCTTAGATCCTCAGTGTGTGCTTGGTTTATGCTACAATTCTCCTCCCATTCCACAATTTCTAGAGGGGCCTAAGCAGACACAAGAGGAGAAGAGGGACAAAGTGAGCACCCACCCACGGATAGATGGATGTCTCCAATACAGGCACCCAGATCCAGGCCTTTCTGTTTTACCCCACCCCATAGTTAGTGAGTCTTACATGCTCAGGGCCTTCCTAGGAAGCCCAGTGTCTTCAGAGCAGCAGATAATATGCAGGCATTCCCATGAAAACACTGACTTAGTACTATTTATGAACCTGAACAGTCTCCATGTGCAGAATGGAAAGGAACACCAAACTTAAAACAGGCCTTACTTGGTTTCTGACATTTACTAGCCAAGTGACTCTGGGGTTGCTTTCTGAACCCAACATAGGCGGTCCACATGAATCCAGCTTGACAGCCCAGTGTATACTGTCTTTTTTCTTCTTTTTAAAGTTATTTTCCACATCATCATACTCTCCAATAAAGAACTATCGCAATGCAGGATACACATTATTGTGGCAGAAAGACCCATTTGCATCTCTTATTCAGTAGGCAATATTTATAGCAAGTAGTTAAGTTCCCCTTATTTATTAAGGGAAATTGTTCATCTCAGATTTTTTTATTTTTTATTTTTATTTATTTGATCGTTTCTTGCTGTTTTTTTGGAACCCACCCTTTTTATGCTCTGAATTCTAGTCCCAGAGTCAATGCATAGTTCTATTCCTGAATTTTTGCAGAAGGGCTAATAAGTCTTCACGGTCAATGAGAAAAATTCTAGAAATTCACCCCATGCTGAACACTGCATAGGCATGTCCAGGACACTGTGAGCAGGAGTCAGAACACTGTACCCTCCAGAGGGCTAAATAGGACACTGAAGAGAAATCACTGTTCTTTATTTCTCAACTGAATAGTCAGTATGTCCCAAGGCACTTGGCTAACTGTGTAAAAATATTTTTCAGATCCAAAGTTTATATGAAGGAAACAGTATGGATGGGCAGAGACAGTGTTGAGGGACAAATCTTTTCCAAACTCATAAACTTATCAAGTGGTAGAGATGGATTTGTACTCCAGAGCTTCTCTGTGAATACCACCAATAACAAGCCTAGAAAAATAACCATTGATTCTGATAGAGAAGGGGCCATGCAAGGGCTCAGCTGTCATCTTAGGCAAAAAGGAAGGGATATGGCTCTGGGTTTGCATTAGAACATCTACTAGTGGTGCCAGCTCTTAAGCTAGTGAAAGACATATAAACATTAACACCAGAAAGTGTAACATTCAAATCTTTAGTTTCTGATTTATTAGTGAGAGTTTTAGCTAACTGACCCACTCTCTATTTGTATCAGATGTTGTTAAATACCATGTTTCATAGACGCATGGCCCAAGAAACCTTTCAGGTGTTCAATCTTCATGAATTTTTATTGCTCTTAAGAGTTGGACAATTGTGAGAAACATAGATCTTATAGGCATAGAACATAGAAACCTTGTTTATTAGTTGGCAATGCCAGTCAATACGAAGTACCACAGAGCAGAGCTGACTAACACATCAGTCCTCATGCACAGTAATGGGCTTCCTCACCATTCCCCAAACATCTCAGCACAACCCTCTTTCAGGAAATTTGCAACTTGGCTCTGTGTCTGAATCTGTCTTCCTCAAAAAACATCAGGCAGGGCTCCTTCCTTTAGATCTCAGAGAATCTTAGTCACCTGCTCAGAAGCACCCTTCTTCATTACTGTCTCTAGAGCTCCGTCACTCACAACTGTGTCTCTTCTTTTCGCCATGATTTAACATTTACAACAGAAATCTCTGCCTGATGTCACATTCTACACTTGTGTCTGTATCTACATATGCGTGCTTGACAAATGGCACATGCGAGCAATCATTTGAGTGAAGAGACCACGTCTGCGTCATAGATTTGGTGTCAGGACTTTGTGACATAATGTGTGTAAAGAATCAGGCTCAAATTGGGAGCTCAAATTCTGCTCAGATTGGAAATTCAAACTGGTGATCTCAAATTTGGCTCAAATTGGCACCTGCTGAGCAATGATGAAGGTGGCTGCTTTTGTCTATGAGACCAGGGGCCATGACTTGCTCTGCGGTCATCATAAGTCATTCCAGATATTCTTGCCGGCAAAAGGGTAAATGGGACTGATTTCTGAAATCTTTTCCAACCTTGGTAACTGCCTTTTCATGACTTAATACTTTTGGTATTAATACTTTCAGTTGGTATTTCTCACTCTGACAAGATGAGGCCAAGTTTTAGGCTTTGCTGGATGTAATACCTGAGATATGCAGTGACCCTTGCCTGGTGCACTGCTAAGGGTGTAGCCCTGCAAAGTTTATATATTTCTGCTTTTCTTATACAGTGAATACAATTGCCTATTTGGGGAGAGCCACCAAGAAGGCCTGTGTATACACTTATGATGTTACAGCAGTGTCTGGCTTCCCAGGGGCCTTGAGTCTGTCTGTCATCTCACTCTTCCTGGAAATGGTGGTCACCATAGTGGTTGACTCTGGTAGTGTGGTTTTGGTCTCCCATATCATGACTAGCTGTAGCAAGCTGTTATTTTGAAGAACCAATGGTTAATATTCACCCCCGCCTGTTTCAGCATATCGGACATTCCTTATGATCTGAATGGTCAATATTCCCTGCTGCCTGGTACTCATCACTTTATAGTTTCACTGCTGAGGGATTAATAAGCACCACCACCCAGGCTCAGTCACACCAGGCTTTCCCAATCTCCACTGATACAAGCAAGCCCACTTCAAAAGCATTATTTTTGCCCTGTCATTCTTAATTTGTAAAGACAAACCAGCATTCTTAAATTTTTATTTTAATTTTTTACATCAAAAATTTAATTAATACATAGCAATATACATTTATGGGTACATTGCAATGTTTTGGTACATGTATGCATCATGTAGTTATTATATCAGGATAACTAGCATAGCAATCATCTTAAATGCTTATCATTTTTTATGGTGAGAATGGTGAGCGTGAAGGTTGGGATTGATGGATAAAATGTAGGAAAGTAGGGATAAATTCTAGTGTCCTATTGCAGGACAGGATGACTGCATTCCACAATAATGCACTGTAATTTCAAAATGGAAGCATTGCTTATAGGTTTCCTCTTTCTTCTGCAAGATTAAGAGAAACCTTCTGGGTTCACAAAGATAGTGTCTCACACTTTTTGTCCTTCTACTATTACCTATAGAAAGAAAGTACAATAAAACCTGGCCTGCTTTATGGTAGACAGGTACTCTACTGTTTATAAATAAATTCAAGAACAAAATAAAAGACAGATAATAAGAAACATGGAAATAGATCTTTTGCAAAAGAGAAGGGGACCAAGAGGTGATGGTAGTAGGGATAGAAGAGAAGGCGATGAAAAAAGAATTAAGATGTGTTAAGTACATGTATATTCTCTCCACCATGAATATAATCATTATGTACTGCAAACATGTACTAATAAGAAAAAAATCTCCCTGTTAAAAAACCTTTGTCTGGTATATTTCTATATATCTGTATACTGACCTATTTTGCTATCCATATCTACCTATAAAATTGACTCAACTGAGAGCTGGATATCTGACTTCTGAACTAGAATCGATTGTGGTAGCAAAGAAAGAGCAATTTAAAAATGGTTGATGTTGAGAAATGCACGATTTTTGTACAGAAGTGTGACCAGTACCACACCATGGAAAAGGGGAAAGAGCACAAGATTGATCCAAATCTCCATGGTCTGTGTTATGGTTTAGATCTGAGGTGTTACCAAAGCCTCATGTGTTTAGAAGCTGATTGGAGCGCTGTACTCACCAGTGGATGGTATATGATGGGAGCAGCTTTCCTCCATGCCAGGCATCTCCACCATGCCATTTCTGCATGTTGTCCTGCCAACCATGGACTGAAAATTGTGAAACCGTGAACCAAAATAAACCTTTCCTCCTTTCAGTGGCATTGGGTATTTTGTCTCAGTGACCAGAAAGTGTCTAAGATGGTCTATTTAGACAGAAGATGGGTTAGGCTCTTGGATTCTCTTACACAGACACCAATAGTAACAAACACATCTTCACCTGGGGGGAAGATACATTGACAGAATATTTAGAGAATCCCAAAAAGTACTTCCTGGAACGAAAATGATCTTCACTGGCACTAAGGAGAATGAAGAAAGGGCAGGCATAACAGCTTACAAAAAAAAAAAAATGCTAAACCTGAATAAATAGGACCCAAAATATACACTGAATAGATACCGTGAATTGGGACAAAACTGTTCAAAAGAAATGAGAAAGTGTGGTGGGGGAAAAGGAAAAGGAAGGAAGGGAAAAGGAAAGAAACATAAACAAGGTAGTTAAGATATAGTGCTGATTTCTCTCATTTCATTGAAAAGAAAGGTTTGTGCTAAT